ATTGTGGTCTGTGGCAGCAGACCTAAGACCTTTTGTCCAACTTTAAAATGTCGATCCTTGGCCTTCTTCTCATAAAAATGCTTCTGACCACCTTGAGCTACATACACACTCTGTTGAGCGAGTTGACAGGTTTCCTCCAGTCGGTTTCTGAGGTCTTAACACATACTGGTATGTGTTCTTTACTCTGTCTCTTCTTCTTCCGTCCATAGCTCTTTCAATATTTGCATTGGACCTCGTACTGTTCTTCCACACAGTAACTCGAAGGGTGAAAATCCTTTACTTGCTTGTGGGACTTCACGATAAGCGAATAATACTGCCTGTAAGTACCTATCCCAGTCATGTGGTCTCTCTTGGCACATCTTCTTTAGCATACTCTTTAAAACTCCATTGACTCTCTCACAAAGTCCATTACATTTAGAATTGTACGGGGTGGTAAAGAGTTGCCGAGCACTGACGAGTCTGCACACTTCCTGCATCAGTTCTGAAGTAAACTGGGTCCCTCTATCACTCAGGATTTCTCTTGGAAAGCCTGCTTTACAAAATATCTCCAGGAAGGCTTCTGCTACTCTCTCTGTCTATCTTTGGCAATGTCATTACTTCTGTATAACGTGTTGCATAGTCGACTACTGTCAGAACATACCAGTTGCTCTTGTCAGACACAGGCACTAGTGGCCCAATCAAGTCCACAGCTGCTTTGCTGAATGGCTCTTCTATGATTGGAAACTCCCCAAATGGCACTTTGACTACCTTCCCTTTAGGTATTTTCCTTTGGCAGATGTCACATGACTTGCAGAATCTACTCACATCTCTAATTACTCTCGGCCAATGAAAATTACTTGTGATTCTGTCTGCCGTATTCTTTGTTCCTAGGTGTCCTCCCACAATTGATTCATGATCCAACTTCATCACTTGAGTCCGGTATTCTGTTGGTACTATGATCTGTTTAACTTCCCCAGTATAACTGCCTTGATAGATTCGGTATAGAATTCCCTTCTGGTCCTCTATTCTATAAGTATATTTCCCCTTTGTTTTGTGCTCGACTTTCTTCTGGGCATCATCCCACAGTTTCTGCAGTGAAGGGTCTTTCTTCGGTGCTTCCTTCAGTTCCTGCAAACCTAAATTCGGTATATAGCCTTTTAACACTTGCAGGGGCTTGATCTCTTGTTTGCTCTTGTTTTCTTGAGCTCTGGTGGTGACAGCAGTTACTTCATCAATCTTGTTTCTGTCTAGTTCTTCAAAGTTTATACTACCTGGTATGTTTCCTATCACCAAGTCGTGTATTAGTTCCTTGATACACATGGTCTCAAAGGTCTCCTATATAATATGGAGTATCAACCTGTATTTTTGGTATGGAAAATGTTCTCACTGCCCCACCAATTTGCACACACAAGCATACCTTGCCTGTCATTCGATCATTGGATAGTTAACTGGTTTTCACTGCTACACTACTGCACCCAGTGTCTCGTAGAACCTTCACTTTCTTGTCCCCAACATAGCCTTCACATATTGGCATATTATGATTTGTTGGCATATATGGATATTTGTCACAAGCTCTCATCACTATTGGCACTTTTACATTTACTAATTTGAACCGATCATTAGCCGTGCACTGATCAATCACGTTTTCTTGTAATGAATTTGACAAGTAATCTTGATTCTCTTTCTTCTGGCAGCAGCATCCATAATGCCAGCCACTCTTTTCTTGTTTCTTACCAGCACTGTCTTTGTAAATGGCTCCAGTAGCTTTATGTTGAGGTTTCTGCTGTTGTTTGCTGTTAACAGACTTGCACTCTTTTGCAATGTGTCCCATTTTATAACAAACATAAC